GGGGTGGATTAATTAAAGGAGGGGTGGATTAATTAAAGGGGGGTGGATTAATTAAAGGAGGGGTGGATTAATTAAAGGAGGGTGGATTAATTAGAGGGGGCTGGATTTATTGGGGGGGGTGGATTTATTGGGGGGGTGGATTAATTAAAGGAGGGTGGATTAATTAAAGGGGGTGGATTAATTAGAGGGGTGGATTAATTAGAGGGGGTGGATTTATTAAAGGGGGGTGGATTAATTAAAGGGGGGTTCAATGTACATACCGGTACCATAAATAAATAAGCCCTACCCTGAAAATAAGCCCTAGTGTGTTTTTTGGGACTAAAATTAATATAAGACCCGGTCTTATTTTCGGAGAAACACGGTACTTTTGAGCTCAATACTGTTCATGGACATGTGGAATAAAGGTTTTATATGTACCTTTCCTGGAAGATTATGAATGGACTGTTCACTGCTGAGCTCTATACTGGCATATTTAATTGGCATGTGAAATAAAAGTTTTATATGTAACTCTGCATGAATATGTAGGACTGATCCCTGCTGTGTGCATCTGCTGACAGTTTGTTCTATTCTGTTCTATACAATTGACATGTTGAATAACAGTTTTATTGTACATCTGGAGGATTATGAATGGACTGTCCCCTGCTGTGGGTATATAGTGGATGCATTACTCTATCTACTGGCAGGGAAATTAAATAGAGCTGATATCTTACTCCGCTCCCTACTCCCACTGGACCTCACAACCATTGGATACACTCCTTCCCCACAGGGATACACCTCCCAGGACACAGTAGTGGAGGCACATAACGGAGTGATTAACAGGGGTGATCCCCCTTACGCTGGGTGACCCCCAAGCGTGGCAGACACCTCTCCAAAGTGACATTGTGGTACAGGGGTGACCCCCCTTACGCTGGGTGACCCCCAAGCGAATCTGGTTCCTGTCCTAGTGACATACATATACTGGGTGATCCCCCTACTCTAGGTGAACCCCAAGCGAATATTATTCCGGTACTAGTGACATACATATACTGGGGGGAACCCCCACGCCCTAGGGCGGGCTCATTTCCACGGAGTACAATCTGTTACTGTATGCACAGACCGGGTCACACTGAATACATGTATATCGACAGAGCCAGGAAGGAGAGCTCACGGTGCTGCCAATTCTCCACAGTACTATATCCTATAAGGGTGACCCCTTGGATAATTTGAAGGCTACCATATCTCCCCATACACGGGCTACGTCCCGACATTACTGACCGCTCACCCCGGTCTTATTGAGGGTGACCCCCTCCTCAGACCACTCCCAGGAAATCTCTAAGTGGTACTGATTGAAACAATTCTGGGTGACCCCCAGTCGTATGTGGAGGCCCACTAAGTGGCAATAAGTGTACTACCGTACCTGACACCTGTTCGGTACCCCATAGACCGAAAGAGTGTCCCAACATGCCATAAGAGACATTCATACAGGGGTGACCCCCCTATGCTGGGTGAACCCCAAGCGAGTCTTACTCCGGTGCTAGTGGCATAGGTACAAAGGGGTGACCCCTTACCGGACGGGGTGACCCCCCGCACCCTTTCTAGGGCTTCTACCTTCAGAGTACGCTCTGTCATTGTATGCACAGACCAGGGCGCACTAGATGCATGTATTCTGGCACCTCTATGCTTCAACTGGGGTTCCGTACGCCCTTCCCTTAACCGAGAAGGAGAACTCACAGTGCTGCCAAAACTCCACAATTCTAGACCATATAAGGATGAACCCCGTGGACTATATATATTGAGGCTTTCACGTCTCCCAGACTCGGGCTACGTCCCGACATTGCAGACCGCTCATCCCGGTCTTACTGAGGGTGTCCTCATTCTCAGACCACTCCCCGGATCCTGCGAAAATGATACTGATTGATCAAAATTCTGGGTGACCCCCAGTTATACGCGGAGGCCTACTGAGTGGCAATAAGTGTACTGTTGTACGATCCTGTCTCCCACGGACCGAAAGGGTGTGAACCAACATGTCGGACTTACCTCAATATCCTCGACCGATTTTCAGGCGAGGATTAAGGCTGCCATGACAGCTCGGAGGGAAGAAGTCCTCTCCAGTATGCTGGCTAACAACCCATCCGACAGAGCGGGTGCAACGGCAGCAACACCAATGGAAGATTGAGATACCGACGTTAGGTCGGACACCCATCATCAGGGGACGAGGACTTCATCCTCCCCCCCCTTCTCTGGAGATCATGAAAGAATAGAGGGCAGAAGAGGTAAAAGTGACAAGACACTCCTAGCAAGAAAGGTTTTTTCTTTGGCACACTGGACACTCCTGTTTTGACTCACGCACCATCCGACAACCAGGGTCATCCGAATGGGGTTAACTGGAGCACCGGGCCCACTTCTGGCTTAGGAGGCCTATGGGAAAAGAAATCCGAGACCGGCTCAGGATGGAATGCCCACGCCCTCTATGTCCGAACAAGATAGTCCTCACTATGGAGCTCGTGGTGATATGTATGTCCCGATCAGTGTGTAGGAGGAGGACTCAAAATGAGTTAAATACTGGATATGATCAGCCCGGGAAAAAATTCTATACTTTGCGGACCTGACCCCACACAAGACTCACCTCTAGAAGCTCACGATGTGAGGGAATGGGTGCAAAGGGCAATATGTAAGTTGGGGAACGCAAGGCAGACAGGTGCACAGAACGCCGCAAAGCAGCCCGATTAAAGATGGATTTCAAACTATTGAAGTTAGGGACGAAAGAGCGAGGACCTCAGGCAGACGGACTATCGTTTGGAGAACAATTTATCTCAGCAACGGTTTGGTAGTAAGGAAGAAGATAGGAGACTATCACCCAGTCATCAACCTATGCCAACCCAATGGTTTTGGGGCGTACCGACAACTCAAGAAGGAAGGTATCCATCTCTTAGGGGATCTACAAGGTTAGACTTGAAGGGCACTTACCTATAGGTTCACATGGTGCCTCATGAAGTTTCTGAAGTCGGTCACTGCGCACTGAAAAGCAAAGGGTATCTGCTGTCACATACCTAGACGACTTACCTTTTGCAAATCCAATTCATGACTACGTTTACAAACAAGATTTATGTTTACAGTTTCGGGAATTGTTGGGATTCATAGTGAACAGAGAGGAGTTGGTTCGATCCCAGTTCCGAGTGATTCAGTTCCTCTATTTCAGAATAGATTCCACCTTGGGCGGATTACACCTTCCCACATCATTGATAGCGACGATTCGTAAGGAAATTCGACGGGTACGGCGGAAAGGCACCATAACCCTTTGACTATTTCCCAGGACTGCTTCACTACCAGGCCAGACAGTGGCTGAAAGCTCACTGCCTGAGATACGGACACACCTATGAAATTGGGATCAGAATAGCGAAGACTTCGATAGTACTCATTACTGCGGTAAAGGAGGCAAGCGTGACACCCAGAAGGGTTGTCCTTAATCAGGATCATCCTCTGCTCCTTCCGTTTTAACTTGCCTTCGGGCGGATCCAAAAGGAGAACATCATCCATTGAGAATGCAGGAGCATCTGGAGTTGGTAGATTGGTGTCTTCCAGGGGAGACTGGTATGTCAAGGGACTATCGCAACCAACTAGAGACCTACTATGGGACTCATGGACGCCAGGTATTCCCCCGAAATAACTTATCCGCATGGAACACCTTGAGTTCGCTGTAGTATGGGAAGGGACTGCGATCCTTTTATTACCCCTATCTCCACGATGCTGGATCTTTATCATACCTTTTCACTACAGGCCGATCGGAACGTTCCATTAACGGGCTACGTTCCGCAATTTCGACGATGCATAGCACGATTCACGACACTCCGGTCAATCAAGAGCCTTTGATATGCCATTTTCTGTGGGTATCAAACCGTCCAGAACCATGCGTCAAAGTATCACTGGTGTGGGACTTTGATTTGGTTCTTTTGGAGCTAGTCAGATATCACGGTCCTATCCCTCAGTCAGCCATTAGCCAGAGTCACGTTACTTTTAGGTCTTTTCGTCGGGTATCAGATGTACTGGAGTTCGACGTAGACGGTCTTTTCGGTATCACCGGAAAGAATAATTTCTACAGTGTCTCGTAGAACTATATCTTATCCGCGTCTGTATCGTTCCCTGTTACCGACGGTTTCCCAGTCTTTGTGCAGTTAAAGCGGTACTTTGTTACATGGAGATCACGACAACACTTAGAATGTCACATTCAGGACATCTGCTGGTCTTATACCAACCGTACAAGCCAGTTACCATGAACACTCTGTCTAGATGGGTTCATTGGTTATCGCTAGCGAGGGTGGAGACGTGTTTGGGTACTCATTCGGTAAGAGGCGCAGCTGCTTCTCAGGCCTTCACGAGGGGGCCTCTATATTTTCAGCGACGAATTGGACACGGATAGACTACTTCCGTATATTTATTTTCGTCAACCACACACGCATCCTTCACGCTCATACCACAGCTTTAAAATGCAAAATATGAAGCCTCCTGTCATGTGATAAAATTGTAGATTATGCTAACGTAGTGTACCTATAATCTTAATTTTAATAATGACAGGAGGCGAGTATTTTCCCTCCCTGTTTCCCTCCCTATACTCTGGAAATTTTTTATATTTTGGTTTGTCATTTTCTCAGTGTAAATTATAAGGTTTGGTAATTCAGTATATTTATGGGATGCTTATCTGATTGACATGTGTTAGATCCGTGTTGATTATTAAGTATACTATGGTTTGTTTAATGTTTCAGTATATTAACTTAATATAAATATAGACACATATAGTACTGGATTTAATGTGGACAACAGTTGGTTTCCATCACCTTTCACGTATTTCTGTTATTTTCAGCGTAATCATCATAGATGGATTCGACAAGATAAAGCTGGAAGGTTTCAAGTTTGGTTTCAAGTTATGCGCTACACGTTACTCAGGACTGTTATTTGAATTCCCTGACGTTATAATAGACTGTGTTTCGTATCAAAGAAAGAGGAAGTCATGTGTCTGTCAGGGCTTTATATATGGATGTGATGCCTGTTACTGATTGGTTTACAGTTTTTTCTGATTGACTTGTGCTGCTGGAGGCATAAAGTAAAGAAAGTTATGCAAAATACTCGCCTCCTGTCATTATTAAAATTAAGATTATAGGTACACTACGTTAGCATCATCTACAATTCCACATATAATGCATTATGTATATTATATATTATATATAGGGCTCTGAATTCCACGTATAATGTATTATGTATATTATATATAGGGCTCTGAATTCCACATATAATGTATTATGTATATTATATATAGGGCTCTGAATTCCACATATAATGCATTATGTATATTATATATAGGGCTCTGAATTCCACATATAATGTAATATGTATATTATATATAGGGCTCCAAATATAATGCATTATGTATATTATATATAGGGCTCCACATATAATGCATTATGTATATTATATATAGGGCTCTGAATTCCACATATAATGCATTATGTATATTATATATAGGGGCTCTGAATTCCACATATAATGTATTATGTATATTATATATAGAGCTCTGAATTCCACATATAATGTATTATGTATATTATATATAGGGCTCTGAATTCCACATATAATGCATTATGTATATTATATATAGGGCTCTGAATTCCACATATAATGTATTATGTATATTATATATACAGCTCTGAATTCCCCATATAATGCATTATGTATATTATATATACAGCTCTGAATTCCACATATAATGTATTATGTATATTATATATAGGGCTCTGAATTCCACATATAATGTATTTTGTATATTATATATAGGGCTCTGAATTCCCCATATAATGCATTATGTATATTATATATAGGGCTCTGAATTCCACATATAATGCATTATGTATATTATATATAGGGCTCCACATATAATGCATTATGGATATTATATATACAGCTCTGAATTCCCCATATAATGCATTATGTATATTATATATACAGCTCTGAATTCCACATATAATGCATTATGCATATTATATATAGGGCTCTGAATTCCACGTATAATGTATTATGTATATTATATATAGGGCTCTGAATTCCACATATAATGCATTATGTATATTATATATTATATATAGGGCTCTGAATTCCACATATAATGTATTATGTATATTATATATAGGGCTCTAAATTCCCCATATAATGCATTATGTATATTATATATAGGGCTCTGAATTCCACAGGCTGGGTTGAGTACGGGTACTCCGAATTGGTGGGTTGCTAGGTGGGCAGAGACCAGCTTCAGCTGAAATAGCTGGTTTGGAGCCTAGCTGGGAAGAGGGGGTAGTATGCTCCTCTCCTTGGAGCCGGTGCTGTGGTGAGAGGGGGAGACAGACTGTCTCCCCTTCCAATAAACGGTCATGCTGCTGGTGGTCCGTACAAGCTGCCCCGCATCCCTGGGGTTCAGGTACCGTGGTCACGGCCCCCTCTGTATCATCTGGGAGAATAGGGTCTCCCCTTTGGGGAATAAGCTGCCGCTGGGGAGAGGGAGTTACAGGCTCCTCTCCCTGAACTATATACTGCCGCTGGGGAGGGGAACTGATGGTCTCCACTCCCAATACATTGTCCTGCTGCTGGGGAGCGAGACCGACTGTCTCTGATCCCCGTAGGACATTCTCCTGCTGGGGAGTAGGACCGACTGTCCCCACTCCCTGTAGTTTGGGCGCAGAGACCACGGTCCCATCTGCAACAGTGGAGAGCATATTGTCTCACATTTGTGTAATAAGATGCTGCTGGGGAGGCACTATTTTTATATTGTAGTATTTGTGTTACACTATGTTACGGTTACCTCCAAGCTAGATGAAGGCTGGACCGCTTGGATGTCCTGGTTCCCAAGTGTGGAGAGAGGAGCGCCGTTCCGTTCAGCATACCATAAGAATATAAAGCAATTCCACTAGCTATGGTACAGTTAGGATACTCTTGTTCCTACAAAACGAGTCGAGGCTGCGATTTGAGGGTCAAAACGAACTGGGTTTAATGGCACACAGTGATAGCTATTTATGCAAAACCCCAGGTCCAGGGACAGCACCCTCTGGACCTGATGGGATACAGGGACAATACAAACAGTTGACCAATAGCATTACAGTGTATCGTTTGAAATAGTCACCGCCCAGCTTGGAGATAATGACTCTAATGGTTATGGCAATTTAATTATCTCCAAGCGCCCAAAATCCCACGTTTTATTGTAACAGGTAAAACAGTATAAAAATACATAACTATAACATTTTAATAGACACATATTATATTCCACCATTCGTTGGATAGCCCAGATCTGAGCGCAGCAGATAGGCGAATAGCGCTCAGATCTCACGAACGGTATAGACAGTCCCTTCAATACAAAGTCCTTTTGTGCCTTTTTGTCCCGAACACGAGATGGCGGCTGTAACGGATCACCTGGCACCCCGACTGGGTACCTCTGTTGAAGGATGCTCCTAGCGCTTCCTGAGGACTCCAAGCACTGCAGCAGACACCACAACCACCAAACCGGAGAAGCATACGAATGCTCTCAAGCATATGAATGCTGTAAGCAGCTGAACAGGAAAAGCATACAATCAGTTTACACTCCTGGCAATCAGCATACAATCCAATTCCCCCAATAACGAGACAACACTTCGTTTTGAGGTCAAGCAGAACTGACTGGACTGGCACATACAGCCTCTTTTATTCCCAATCCACAAACTTAGTACTGCCTACAGGGTTTTACAGAACAACCAATCAATCCGTACAATACACACAGACACTCCCACACAAAATCCTCCCTTCTGCCTGTGATATGATTACTGAACACAATGGTTAATCTAATTATCACAGGCAGAGAAATACAGTATCATAAAACACATCACGGGGACTCCAAAACATGCAATAACCCCATACTTGGAACCAGGGGATCTGGGTGAACCACATATCCAAAATTCACCCAGATCCGTTCAGTACTTTGGAAGATACAGTTTAATGCAGATTCCACAGAACATACGCAGGCTAAATGAAAAACAATTACTTTATAATGTGTCCCCTGTTGTATAGTCCAAAACCACTGCACGATGTCTCTGTGCACCAAATACCGGTGAGATGGCACCTTGTTGAAAAGTCCAAACAGTGTCTGTGAGTTAAAATGGCCGCCATCCATTGTTCTTACCATGTGCCTCTGATACAGGCAATAAGTCTTCTCCAATGCTCAGTGGCGAGGGAGGTTTCGCCACAGTGGCCATGTTTTCAGGCTGGTGAATAGAGAGCGGGACCTGGCCCTAAAACCCCTGGAGCGAGTAGCGGATGAACAATTGTGCGAATACCGCTCAGAGGATGGTTGTCCCAGCCCTTTGTGAGCCGAACAGAGACCGCCATGAAGGGGGTACTTAACTTGCGGTCAACCACAGACCCAACGTTCTAATTGGGGCTACACACCCGGGTGTAGGTGGTCCTCGTTCGGAAGTCTTTCAGGAGTTTCAGTTCGGTTAATTATTATCCGAACGAGGCAGTCAATCAGGCTTGTGGTTAACCGCAGACCGCAGCTTCCCGGTGGTCAATTGGAAGCACCCTCCGCTTGTAGGGTGGTCGGTCGTTCGGTTGTTTTAAAGGTGAAAAAGGTTAAGTGGCGGCACACGCCAAGGGCCTGGTGGTCTTTTGTTCGTATACGCGAATACATAGTCCTGACTACTAGTGTAATGTGTCTTATACATTATAACTACCGAAACAGAGTATACGGTAAAATAAACCGGGTAATCCCGTAACGTTCTGTAGAGCGCCCGTAACACACTATTAGTATGGCACTATTTTTATATTGTAGTATTTGTGTTGCACTATTAGTTTGGCTCTATTTTTATATGGTAGTATTTGTGTTGCACTATTTATATATTGTAGTATTTGTGTAGCACTATTAGTCTGGCACTATTTTTATATTGTAGTATTTGTGTTGCATGATTTTTATATTGTAGTATTTGTGTTGCACTATTAGTATGGCACGATTTGTATATTGTAGTATTTGTGTTTTACTGTGTAAGGAAACCAAGTATATTTAAACTTCATTCGGTAGTTTCCTCCCGAACCGCCAGAGCCTTAGTGATTATAGCCCTCCGTTCGGTAGATAGAGTAGACGAACCATATAGTAATCCCAATAGCTTCAAAAGATGATTCCCTTAGTGAAACGGATCACCTGGCACCCCGATTGGGTACCTCCGTTAAAGGATGCTCCTAGCGTTTCCTGAGGACTCCAAGCACTCTGGCAGACACCACAATCACCGAACCAGAGAAGCGTATACCTTCTCTCAAGCATATGAATGCTGTAGACAGTTGAATAGGAACCATACGAATAGGTTTACTCTCCTAGCAGTCAAACTGGAACAGCATACAATAAATCCTTCCCCCAATAATGAGACAACACTTCACTTTGAGGGTTAAAACAGGAACTCACTGGACTGGCACATACAGCCTCTTTTATTCCCAATCCACAAATTTAGTACTGCCCACAGGGTTTTACAGAACAACCAATCAATCTGTGCAATACACACAGACACTCCCACACAAAATCCTCCCCTCTGCCTGTAATACACAATGGGTAATCTAATTATTACAGACAGAGAAATACAGTTTCATAAAACACATCACAGGGACCCCAAAACATGCAATAACCCCATAAAAAGTATATCCTTGGAACCGGGGGATCTGGGTGAACCACATATCCGAAATTCACCCAGATCCATTCAGTACTTTGGAAGATACAGTTTAATGCAGATTCTGCAGAACATATACAGGCTAAATTAAAAACAATCACTGTATAATGTGTCCCCTGCTGTATAGTCCAAAACCACTGCACGATGTGCACCAAACACTGGCGAGATGGCACCGTGTTGAAAAGTCCAAACAGTGTCTGTGAGTTAAAATGGCTGCCATCCATTGTTCTCACCATGTGCTTCATCCATTGTTCTCACCATGTGCCTCTGATACAGGAAATGGTGGCCACCCAGTAACTCCACAGTATGTCCCCAGATGGTTCTTAAAGGGCCAGCAGCAGCACAACACAAATCCCTTATGCCCAAATCATGTCTTTAAAGGGCAATACATCCCAGGGGCCATAGTCACATGGCAGGAGGCTGGCAATCAGTCTTCTCCAATGCCCAGTGGCGAGGTCGGTTTCGCCACACACACCAATCCCCAAACATCAGCCGAAGTCAAGAAGAAGGGTACAAAATGAACTAACTTTCAATGGTCACACAGGCTTTTATGCAAGTCCCCATGCAAGGGGACAGCCCTCAGGGAGGGACAAACATTTACCAATCACATACAGTAAAACCATAACACACACCCCCAGTCTCCTTCCCTAGCTCTGGAGATAATTAAGTCTGATAAGATAATAACTTAATTATCTCCAGGCAGAAAAATCACCTATTTCCCCAATAACTGGGAAACCCCTTTATACTTGTCGTATCACCCCAAATAACATGTCCCCTGATAGCCCTGATCTGGGTGACCAACATATTCTAATTTCACTAAGATCGGTTCAGGGGTTCGCAAAAACTATGGAGGTCTTCTGTGACCGGCTTCCCCTGGGCTGTATGCCCAAAACAGTTCCATGAGTTTGGTGGGTTTTGCCGGTCCCTTTAGAAATAGAAGAATAGCGAACAAAGTACAGAATGGATCCCTCTGGTAAGTCGAGTGTCCATTTTCAGTTCCATACACTCGACCAAGTCCTGCTGCCTTTGTTCGCATGAACAAAGATGGCCGCGGTTTTCTCTGCCACGTGGCGTTCGGCTGTACGAACGCTGGCCGCACAGACAGAGGTAGCAATTGAATCAGTCTTTGATGTTTAAAGAGCCAGAGGGGTGGTCTTTGTTCGGTAGTTACATCTACCGGATGCAATAGGCAGAAATAGTGTAACAAAAAGGGGGATTTCTTCACACACTGTTAGTATGGTACTATTTTTATATTATAGTATTTGTGTTGCACTATTTTTATATTGTAGTATTTGTGTTGCACTATTTTTATATTGTAGTATTTGTATAGCACTATTAATATGGCACTATTTTTATGTTGTAGTATTTGTATAGCACTATTAGTATGGCACTATTTTTAAATTGTAGTATTTTTGTTGCACTATTTTTATATTGTAATATTTGTGTAGCACTATTAGTCTGGCACTATTTTTATATTGTAGTATGTGTTGCACTGTTACTATGGCACTATTTTTATATTGTAGTATTTGTATAGCACTATTAGTATGGCACTATTTTTAGATTGTAGTATGTGTTGTTACTATGGCACTATTTTTAAATTGTAGTATTTTTGTTGCACTATTAGTCTGGCACTATTTTTATATCGCACAGTTTGTATTGTGCTATTTGGAGTGCTCTTTTTATATGGCAATATTTCTTTTATGCTATATGTGGTGCACTATTTCAAATGTGCGGTTTGTGTAATTGTAGAGGTTTCTGTGAAATATTTTACTGCCACAATGTGACGGACGGCCTGGTACCCTAACTGGTACCTCCACTAAGCACGCTCCCTAGCTATCACCGGACACCAGCAGCACTTCAGCTCCTAGTCGCCGCAGCTTGGCCAGGGTCTCGAAGTTGCTTCCTACCTTGGAACATTGTCCTGGATCCAGCTTCTAGTGATTAAAGCTCTCCTGCAGAGAGTATAGCTGTTTAGCTGGTACACTCAAACACTAGTTAAGTGAAGGGTGTAAAGGGACTGGTTTATTATGGCCAGGTTGACTGCTTTTATACACAGCCCCCAGCATGGGGTCTCCATTCAATACAAGACAAGCCCCTCCCATAGATCTCTGTGCCTGGGAGATAATTACTTTAAAGACTGGTAAGCTAAATATCTCACAGGAACAGAGAGGCAAACAAAAATAAAAAAACATAAAAATACCCCAAAACATCATAAAAATATATAATAACCCCACAAATAATATATCCCCAAATAGCCCTGATCTTAGCGCCCATGTTCTCCAAATAGCGCTCAGATCCATGCAGTATAGAGGAAATGCCACCGTGTTAAAGATCTGATCAGCTGCACATGTGGTCCTATGTCCAAAATAGTTCCAGGGCGTTTGGTGCTTTGGCCGGTCATCTTTTGGGAGCTCCTGTGTTCGAAATATGTGGTGCTCCGTCTGGCTCTTTGGTAGCATTTGTTCCTCTTAGTCTCAGGCTCCTTACCTCCAAAAAGCGCTCTCCTGGCCGGTTGCAAGTCGTCCTGGAACCGCACGGTCACCATGCCGAAAACAGTTCCATAACATTCACGGCTAAGTCCCGCTGAGGTGACCAGGGACCCACAAAGTCCTTATGCTGAATTTAATTCCATATTGATCGCTGCTGAGGACCATTAGCTAGAGCTAGAGTTTGGATCAGTTCCAAAAAAAGGGAAAGTGTCTCCCTTGCATGGGAAGACTGCATAAAAAGAGTATCTGCCATTAAACCTTCAGTTCTTCTTCACTCTCAATCTAGAGTCTTGTCTCTTATTGGGGGTAACGGCTATACAGCTATCACACTAGCTCTTGTAAGAGCTTCACTTGGATCACTACTGGATGCTGAGTATCCTCCTCACTGATCGGGAAAAGGACACCCTCCAGCGATGGAAACCCCTCTGCTACCCGGGGTAACTGCTACATTGGTGGCAGCCATGGGATGGTCCTATCTTCCCAGAGGAGGTGTTACATCTATGGAGTATGAGAAACTACTTGATTCAGTAAGCCCCATTTTCTGAACCAAGTGGGAAAAAGCCACGAATAAAGTATTTTAAGGGTCTGGGGACACCATCTTAAAGGGGCATTGTTCACAAAAGTCTAAATGTGTCCCCAGATGGTTCTTAAAGAGCCATACACACCAGGGCCATAAGCATGGGGAAGGAGGTTGGCAATTAGGCTTCTCCATAACCCGGGGAAACAGGGCAATTTGTCATAAGAGAAAATAGTGACAAAAGGCATTTTGTAACACAGGCTTCTCCAGGAACCAGTGGCTAGGTTAGTTTTGCCACAGTGGGGAAAAAAGGGGGATCACCCTAAAGAGAAGCTACTATCCATGCCCATAATAGAAGAGCCCTTCAGTCAGATAGCAGTTGACCTGATAGGGCCCTTCAAACAGCCTAGTCCATCCAGTAAGCGATTTATCCTTACCGTGGTGGACTATGCCACCTGCTATCCCAAAGCCATCTCCCTAACCAATATTCAGACGTACACTGTGGCCAATGCCCTGGTTGGGATATTCGCTAGGGTGGGTTTCCCGAGGGAAATCCTCTCTGACCAAGGGATCCAGTTCACTGCTGAATTGACTCATCATTTGTGGAAAGTCTGCCAAATCAAGTCCCTACTTAGCTCCCCATACCACCTCCAGAGCAACGGCCTCTGTGAGCGTTTCAACAATACCCTTAAACAAATGTTGAAAACGTTCAGACAAATACTGTGACTGGGAAAGGTTCCTACCTCACCTCCTGTTTGCGTACGGAGAGGTACCGCAGGAATCCATGGGGTTCTTTCCTTTTGAGCTACTATATGGGCAAAGCGTGCGAGGCCCCCAGGACCTCATTAGGGAGCACTGGGAGGGAACCACCAAACAAGAGGGAGCCCCCATCGTATCATATGTGGTGCAGCTCCAGGAATGCATGAAACAGCTAGCACGGATGGTTAAGGAAAACCTCCAAGCAGCCCAGGGGCGGCAGAAGGTATGGTACGATTGGGGTGCTCGCCAGCAGACGTTTCAGGTGGGACAAAAGGTCCTAGTGTCGCAGCCAACCAAAAATTATAAATTGCAAGCAGCCTGGCAGGGCCCTTACACGGTGGTAGACCAACTGTGCGATACCACCTATGTAATCGCCAGCGACAAGGATGAGAGGGTACGCAAAGCATTCCACATTAATATGCTTAAAGCATATCAAGAAAGGCCTGAGGACATAACTGCTGCCTGCGCCCCAGCCACTGACGACCCAGACAGCTTACAGTTCCCTGACCTCTTGAGTAGACAGCCCCAGACCAATCCCCTTAGTCAGATAAAGCTAGGGGACCGACTGACGGCCACCGAGAGAGAACAGATACACTGCTTAATAGCCAGTAAAAGCCACACATTCTCCCAAGAACCAGGGCTCACCACACTAGCCACCCATAGGGTGGAAACACCAGGACAGGCTTCGCTTAGGTAACCCCCATACCAGATACCTGACACCGTCAGAGCCGGTATGAGGGAAGAGATACAAATGTTGAGGCTAAGAGTCATTGAGCCTTCCGATAGTCCCTGGGCATCTCCAGTAGTTCTGGTACCAAAGAAGGATGGGACTACCCGGTTGGATGACATTGCGATCTATAGTGAGTCCTGGGATGAACACTTGAGTCATGTGGGGATCAGATTCAGATGGCTGGCCTGACTCTGAAGCCAGACAAATGCCATATAGGCATGGCGGAAGTCCAGTATTTGGGCCACCAGGTCAGGTGTGGGAGACAGTGGCCAGAACCTGCCAAGATAGAAGCTGTCGCTAACTGGCCCACACCCCGGACCAAGACCCAAGTCCTGGCCTTCCTGGGGACAGCAGGGTATTACAGACAGTTTGTACCAGACTACAGCACCCTAGCTAAGCCCCTGACTGACCTCACGAAAATAATCTTTCCAGACAGGTCCTGTGGTCTCCCGCCTGTGAATCTGCTTTTCAAGCCTTGAAAGATGCCCTTGTATATGCTCCTGTGTTGGCTGCTCCAGTCCCTAACAAACATTTTATCGTCCACACAGACGCTTCCATGTTCGGACTGGGGGCAGTTCTAAGCCAAGTGGGAGAGGACGGAGGGGAACACCCGGTTGCTTACATCAGCCGCAAACTATTTCCCCGGGAAGTGAGCTTTGCAGCAGTTGAAAAGGAGTGTTTGGCTTTGGTTTGGGCGCTGAAAAAAACTCACCCCCTATTTATATGGGCGAGAATTCACCTTAGTCACGGACCACAACCCCTTGGTTTGGTTAAACAGAGTGGCCAGAGACAACGAACGATTATTAAGATGGAGCCTAGCCCTATAATTTTATCATCCAGTACCGCCCCGGGAAACAAAACGGTAACGCAGATGGGCTGTCCCACCAGACTGAACTCAGCCCCTGATCGGTCGTCCAGGCAGCCTCCAGTTGACCCAAAAAGGATCAAACCAAGTCTGCTGGAGTGTTCTACAAAGAGGGAGCCATGTAACAGATCCCCCTGTTTTTCGTTGGATCTGTAATTTTGTGAACAAGCCATTCGTTTAAAACTTTTTGTAACGGACCGTTTTGCCCACAAGAGGTTAAAAATCGTTTAGGCGATATTCCCCTTTTCAGATGTACAGGCAGCTACTGCAATCACCAATCTCCCAAACTGGAGACACACGAATAGCTGTTAGCAGACGAACAGTAAAAGCCCCCAAGCGGCTTACACTCCTGGCAATCAGTCTCTAACAGCATACAGTAAATCCCCCCAAAGACGAGACGACTTGGGGGTTAAGCAGAATCTGGTGTACTGGGGCTAACTGCCCGGCTTTTATGCAGGTCTCCCACCTGGTGGACACTCCCCTATGGGACCAGATGGGAGACTGGGACACAAAGGGTACAAGAACCAATCACAGACTTACACATTTCAACAATCCCACAATGCATCACAATCCCTCCTCTCTGTCCTGGAGATAATTGAGAAGTAATCCAATTATCTCCAAGGACAGAGGCAAAACTCCATTAATCACATGGTAGTAAATAGACATAAAAGACGTAAATAGACATGGTAGTAAATAGACACATGGTAGTAAAAAGACATAAAATTACATGCATTACATAAAACATAGACATTCTACCTATCCCCAGATAGCTGAGATCTGAGCGCACATTATTAAGCGAATGGCGCTCAGATCACATACATACATTTCAATCGCCATGGAGCCAAAGTCTTTCGTTACATGAACAGGCTCCATGGCATAGCTATCTGGGGTGATGCTGTTCACCCGGTTAAATTACCTAATGAACAGTCATTCAGTTCCGCTACCAAATGAGAAGGTAAGGAGGCTGGCCGCTCAGCGGTGTTCGCGCCAATAAGTGTCCGTTTTCTGTTCCATAGTTTGGGCACTGAACACCGCAGGCCGTTAGGGAGGTAAAATGGCCGCTGCCACATGTTCGGCATCCGAACAAAGGCCACCCAGCGTTCATCAATTAAGCTGCGGTTAACCGCAGCTTCTGGGCGGTCAATAGACGGCACACTAAAGTTCCCAGGTGTTCCATTGTTCGGTAGATGGAATCTACCGAACACCCTGGCAGAAAGGCATGAATAAACCTTTCAGCAGGGAAAACAACAGGTCTGAACTGCAGGGCCATAGTCTAAAGGGAGCAGGCGAGCATCCAGGCTTCTCCAGTGCATAGTGGCGAGGTTGGTTCCGCCACACTTTTGTCTAAATTGACTGTAATGGATGCTATAGTAAAGGCCGTTCGAATCACAAATTTTCTACGGAACGCCCGGCCACCCAGTAATGAAGTGTGGCACTCATTTACCTCCCTGACTCAAGGAACACCTCGAAAACCACGAACACTTCATCATTTTAAACGCTATAGGGTGGTCGGCATTCGTTTCCACGAACACGTGGTGGCGACCATTTTGTTTAGTCGAACGCACTCAGCGGTGTTTGGTCGTCGAATGCGTGAAACTATTTTCAGCTACCTTTTCCACGAACACCGCTGAAACTTCTACTTTCCGTGCGTTCGGCTAAACCCATGCGAACAGAGCGCTATTTTTATGGAATAAACTCACGAACAAGCCGCATCTAAAGAGAGTAAGCACGAACCGATCCGTTTGTGCAATTTGAACTTCATGCGAATGGAAAGATAGACCAACCGCACAGCCTGAATCTGTGGAACTGTTTTGGGCATACAAACAGGCATGCGGTCGGTCCAAAGACACTTTCCCCTATCTCCCGAAACCCTGGACGGATTCATGTGATTTTTACAAATGTTGCTCCCCAAGTTATGCTGAGTACGTTTTATTCATATACAATGTAAAAATCAGGAAGTTATAAAAATGCATAAAAAGCATGATTTTCAGCTTGGAGATAATTGAGTAGATGCAGTAAGTAACTCCATTATCTCCCAAGCAGAGGGGTGGGTTGTAACCATTGTTTTATTGGCTAATGTATAATTGTATGTGGGTGTCTCCGTTGCATGGGAAGACTGCATAAAAGGAGAGTATCTGCCATTAAACCATCAGTTCTTCTACACCCTCAGTCTAGTCTTGTCTCTTATTGGGGGTAACAGCTATACAGCTATCACACTAGCTCTTGTAAGAGCTTCTTCACTTGTATCATTACTGGATGCTGAGAATCCTCCCACCTGATCGGGAAAAGGACACCCTTCAGTGGTGGAAACCTCTCTGCTACCCGGTGTAACCGCTACAAAGTGTTTCAGTGTTTTGGTGTTCTGTGCCCCAGGACAACACCGTGGGTCCGGTTACGTGCCGTAGTTTCCTGGATATCTATTCCGGGGCTGGGGAATGTCGTTTGCCCCTGATTACAGTTCAAGACATCCGGCAGGAGGTGTCGCTGGCTTTGGAGCGATGTAAAATTCAGCTGCGCTGCCTGCGGTCTCTCCTGGGTAAGCTGGACTTCGCCTGACGGATTTTGCCCTTGGGGCTGTCTGGGATTCCTTCTTGGCCTCCTATAACGGTAGCATGTACTGGCAGGCCCCGGAGGTCTCTACTTCCGCCTCTTTACCGCTTGTGGCGGAACCAACCTCGCCACTGGGCATTGGAGAAGCCTGTTTGCCCGCCTCCTGCCTATGGCCCCTGGGAGACTTTGCCCTGTGTAAGCATTATTTGGGCTTATTGGATTTTGAAACACTTTTTCTGCCCCTTTGAATACATGAGAATGTGTGCCCCTCCCCGTTTCCTGTCTATTGTTCTCCAGCAGGGCGTTGTCCCAGGGACACTGCCAGACCAGTTGGAACTTGTTGCTAAACTTTAACCCCATGGCGATTTGACTGTGTTCGGGGGATCTGAGCGCTGTTCGGATATAGTGAGCGCTCAGATCCAAGCTATCTGGGGATAGGTTGAATGTGGGGGTTCTGTTCAGTATGATAGGAATTATGTATTTTTGTGTTTTTTTTTTGCTGTTGTTGTAAATGGAGATATTTTATGTATGCTGGAGATAATTGGCTTACTACACCCAAGCCATGCTTGCAGTCAGTCAAATAGGTCTTCCATATATCTTTTGAACCACTGGACCAATTTGTATGATTTTGACCCATGTTTGTATTTGGAGTATGCTGATTCTGAAAATGTAAGTTGTGACTGTAGTAAGTTGTATCACCGTCCAGTATTCCCTTTTTCCCAATAGCAGAATAACAACCATAATCCACACATGAGCCAAAGCTTAATGCTGGAACAAGACTGATTTACTGGAAGCAACAGGCATTCAATTTATACAGTAACAGACTCCTCCTCTGGGCCAGGCTAGATAATTGAGTTTCAGCAATATACTAAACTCAATTATCTGCTGGCCAGAAACATTAACAATTTTCCACATTTTTAAAAATACTAAAAATACATGTCATAGAAATGGGTAGCTGAGGATACTAGGAGTAACATATCCAAACTGCACAAAAATCCGTTCAGTAGTCTTCGTTTCGCATCGTGTGGAAGTTTGACCGGCTCGCCATGTGGTTGTATCAGAGTTTGAGTTCCATGAAATTGGTAGCAAGAGCCAGTCTCCGTTCGTGCGGAATTACACGAAAACCATCACAGTTATACGGCATCTGGTTACATTTGAATTCTCCCCTCATTCGGCTGATTGAAACTCCCGAACGCCAGTTTGATACTGTAAGTGGAAATCGGTCAGACGGGACTTCCATGGAGACTGGATGTTCGTGTGATTGCCATAACGAAAATGGTTCCAGGCAATCCATGAGTAAGTCCAGATGGCCTCGTTCGGGAGATCTAAGATGGCCGCCATCCTTTGTTCTCACCACGCGTTCGTATGCAGAATGGAGGCCACCTAGAAGCACTCAATTACCTTGCGGTTTTCGTGGTTACTTGGTGTTCTAAGTTCTGATTGCTACCCAGGGTGGTCTCCATTCGGTAGAACGAATAAATGTCCCGAACACAGAAATAACAACGAATACTTTACAGTCACTTAACTAGCAGGGATAGGAAATAACCGAATGGGTACAGGTAAACCCTTTACATAAGTTTTTTTATGTGAATCTGATGTATACTTTTAAAGTTATGAATATTGTGTAAAACTGTATTTTCCTGTCTGTGATAATTACTTGATAATTACGTTAGCCCATTGTGTTCAGTAATTGTATCACAGGCAAAGGGGAGGATTTCTGCTGGTATGAATGGGAGTGTTTAGCTATGTTGTAATGTATTGATTGGTTTGTTCTTCAAAACCCTCTGGGCGGTACTATGTTTGTAAAATGGGCATATAAACAGAGTGTTTGATTAAAAGCTTCAGTTCTACTTCACCCTCAATTTGGAGTGACGTCTCTTATTGGAGGAATCTGCTACAAGGGTTTGCTATGCTTGTCATACTCCCTTGCTAAATCACTACAAAGCGCTTGTAAGAGCTTGTACCTGCCTTGCTCTCTGGAGGAGTCTATGGTAGTTATGGTGTCGGCTGGAGTGCTTGGAACCCTCAGGAAGCGCTAGGAGCATCCAGCAACGGAGGTACCCAGTCGGGGTGCCAGGCGATCCATTACACCGCTGCAGCAGGCTCGGGAGGTTTTGGGTCCATTTTGGGCTCTCGATGGTGTACTGACTCTTGGCCTGTAGGCTGGCAAGCAGCGGGGCTCTTGCGGAATCTGGCTGTCCTGGAGCTCTTCCCCATTCTGGTGGCATTGTAGGTGTGGGGTCCCCAACTTACGGACAGGTGTGTAGTTTTTTCCATCGGGGTTGTGCAAGACTGTCGTTTGACCAAATCCTCTCCACAGGTGGTGTTCTTGCTGCGGCGCCTTGTTCTGTTTGAGTCTTAATGTGTATTGTCGGGCGGAGCATTTCCCAGGGGGTCCACAATGTAATGGCCGATGCTCTCTCTCATTCGCTGTGGGATGTACTTCGGGCAGTGGCTCCGCAGGCCCAATTGGAGGAAGTTGGAGATGTGGTCGCTTGGTCTAGCGGACTGATGGAGCTGGTCCGTGGGTCGATCTCTGCGGCCGCAGTAAAGCATGGAGAGAACGGGATGGGTGGGAGCGTTCCCTCTGGGGTTTCCAGGGTTCGACCGCTTGTCTAAAGGTTTGGTTAAATCTCTTAGGGATGTTGGAGGCAGTGGGGTAGTCCTCAATGATTTCTTTGCTTTGCAGGGCTCAGCTTCCTGTTCAAGTTACGGTCGTCTGCAGGTGGGGGGTGCTTTTAGTGGTAATGCTTAAGCTACGGATCGTATTTCCTTCAGGATTCGCCGCTCAGAGACTGTCTTTGGGCAGGGAACATTGGTAGAGGTTGGTGTGATAGCGAAGTGGGCTAATTCATCAATAGAATCTGTTCAACTCTTGGACATTGCAGGTTCAAATCCCAGCAGGAACACATGACAGAGGCATCTTTGCCACACAGGGGTACCCATGGAAAGCTGCTTGAGGAGCCCGGGCAGGTTAACGCTCGAACAGCATCTTTGGATATGGCCCATTGTCCTTGGGCAGAAGGCTAGCTAGCAGGCTCCTCCAGAAGCTCATGGCATAGGCACGTTTGCCACAAACAATATTTGTGATGGCTAAGGTGCTGGTCCTTCCCAGCTTGCCCCGTTATGCGGCAGTGAGGCTCATATTCCTGTTCGCCTGCACTCCCACACCAACCCCCTCTATGAGTCCTTGCACTGGCTTTCAGTAAAAAATATTGCCCAATCCTTCCCTTTCCTCGTGTCACTTTACCCCACTCCCTCTTGTTTGTCTTGTTACAGATACTTGTCTGTTAGTCCAGCTATTGTACAGTGCTACGGAATATGTTGGCGCTTTATAAATATTAATTTATAATTAATTACGATCTCTGTACACTATTGCTCAGGACTTCAAAAAAAAACAGCCATATATGTCTCCGTCTCTGAATCCATTTGAAATCTCTTATTATTTATGAATATATGTCATGCAATAACACCTGTAAATCACCAAAGACAATCTCTGAATCCTCTGCAGGACTGACAACCGTGACTGTGGCAAACCTAGCCACTTGGACTATAACTAGAGACTATGCCTTTAAGGGTTGCCTATAGGTCTGGGGAGATATGCGCTTTACTCTTCTATGTATACTTAATGTATTCTCTGCATTGCCTGTAATTGCTGTTTCCGCCGAATGAAAATGGCGGTTTTGTATGGGGATTTTCTTTCGTTTCACGAACGGCACTTTAGATAGCCGTTCGTGAACCGAACGCGATACCCCCTAATAGCCCACACACTTAGAGGCGTGTGGCGCTAGTTAACCGATTGCAACATTGTTGCAATCGGTTATTAGAGGCTCTCCAGGGTGGCCGTCGTTCGACTACCGACCATGCGGCGGTCGGCCATATTGGATCCTTTGTTCCTCAGCGGTGCCGGGTCGTCGAACGCATAGTACTACCAATAGCTATTCGACGGCACGAACACCGCTGAGCCTCCAGGACGTTCGGGAGTTTCAGGATCGTGTTCACTAAAAGCAATCGGTCCTTTTCGTATGTTTTAAAAGAAATGGGTTTTTCGTGCGGCGTTCGGTTATTTTAGCTGGGATCTGAGCGGTAATCTCACGAATGATGCGCTCAGACCCCAGCTATCTACCGAACGTCCATTCGTGTAAATCCACCGTGTATTTAACAAGTTATTTTTGTTTAAATTGTCGGTTCTGCTGCACGAGGGGATAATCCCCTTAACGGTGCATTCTGGGAGGATGATCCCTCTCGTGCAGCGGTGCCTGATGGGAGAAATATGTTGTCATGTAAGTCCCCCATGTAGTCCCCTCTGGGAGTGCCCCTGGGAAGGGACTCAGGAAACCCCTTGCATGGGGACTTGTATAAATTGTCCAGCCGATTAAAAGGATGTCAGTTGACTCTCAGAACTGTGTCTCGTCCGGTTACTGGGAGGTTGGGGATATTGCCTTATGGTTTTCAGCGCTTGACTGTGGATTCGTTTCTGAACCAGCGGAATTCGTGGATTTATAATTGGCGTTCCGCTACAGTGACTTCATGGCCACCAGGACTGGCAACCATTCAGCCAACCGTGCCTGGCCCATGTAGCACAGGTAAATATTACAGACAGTGCACAGATTATGAACGAAATAACTCTATCAATAATAGCAAGGCCAGATTAAGAGCCCGGTGAGGACAATTATGATGGGCCTAATTACAGAATCTTATCGACCAAAAACACTAAAACAGTCCTACCTCCCAAGCATCATGTATCTGATGGACGTGGTGATGGAGGGAAACTCATAGGATGCATATATGAGAAAACACATACCCTATGCTAATCTCACTCCATCCATACCCCCTAACAGCAGTGTCCAGTGAAGCAGGAAGTCAATGGACAGGGTAAAAGGGTGGGCCAATGACGCAAATTACGTAACCAGAACTCCCGAAAGGGGTTAACATACAAAAAAGGGGGCATGTCTGTCCAAAGAATTTAAAGGTTTTACAACTAAGGGCATACTATGCAGACAACACCCTGAGCTTGGTATAATGAGTTCGCTCCACGCTTTCTAAGGACTGTCCCCTAGCACTCACATGTCCACTTGTCTCCTTACCGTCTTACTAGCAGGCAGAAGCTCCTGGTATACAGTCTGAGACAGACAAAAGATACTGAGTGTAGAAGAAAGTAATCATTACCTTAACTAATTTCATTGTCAGCCACTCCACAGAAGTTTTGTTCCCATCACTCTTAAGTTTCCATTCTTAAGCAACAGCCACCTTTCTTGGAAAAACATATCGACCTTACTTGTCTGACTGGTTTCCTGGGGTGGAAGGGGTTAATGCTGTCTGACTGGTTTCCTGGGGTGGAAGGGGTTAATGCTGCCTGACTGGTTTCCTGGGGTGGAAGGGGTTAATGCTGCCTGACTGGTTTCCTGGGGTGGAAGGGGTTAATGCTGTCTGTATTAGTTTCCTGGGGTGGGAGGGGTTAATGCTGTCTGACTGGTTTCCTGGGGTGGGAGGGGTTAATGCTGTCTGACTGGTTTCCTGGGGTGGGAGGGGTTAATGCTGTCTGACTGGTTTCCTGGGGTGGGAGGGGTTAATGCTGTCTGACTGGTTTCCTGGGGTGGGAGGGGTTAATGCTGTCTGACTGGTTTCCTGGGGTGGAAGGGGTTAATGCTGTCTGACTGGTTTCCTGGGGTGGAAGGGGTTAATGCTGTCTGACTGGTTTCCTGGGGTGGGAGGGGTTAATGGCATGCTGTCTGACTGGTTTCCTGGGGTGGAAGGGGTTAATGCTGTCTGACTGGTTTCCTGGGGTTTTGAGGGGTTAATGTCTGACTGGTTTCCTGGGGTGGAAGGGGTTAATGCTGTCTGACTGGTTTCCTGGGGTGGAAAGGGTTAATGCTGCCTGACTGGTTTCCTGGGGTGGAAGGGGTTAATGCTGTCTGTATTAGTTTCCTGGGGTGGGAGGGATTAATGCTGTCAGCTGGTTTCCTGGGGTGGAAGGGGTTATGCTGTCTGACTGGTTTCCTGAGGTGGGAGGAGTTAGTTGGACTGGGGTTGGCGTTGGACTGGGGTTGGTGGGAGGGGTTAATGCTGTCTGACTGGTTTCCTGGGGTGAGAGGTGTTAATGCTGTCTGACTGGTTTCCTGGGGTGGAAGGGGTTAATGCTGTCTGACTGGTTTCCTGGGGTGGGAGGGGTTAATGCTGTCTGACTGGTTTCCTGGGGTGGAAGGGGTTAATGCTGTCTGACTGGTTTCCTGGGGTTTTGAGGGGTTAATGCTATCTGACTGGTTTCCTGGGGTGGGAGGGGTTAATGCTGTCTGTCTGGTTTCCTGGGGTGGAAGGGGTTAATGCTGTCTGTCTGGTTTCCTGGGGTGGGAGGGGTTAATGCTGTCTGTCTGGTTTCCTGGGGTGGGAGGGGTTAATGCTGTCTGTCTGGTTTCCTGGGGTGGAAGGGGTTAATGCTGTCTGTCTGGTTTCCTGGGGTGGGAGGGGTTAATGCTGTCTGTCTGGTTTCCTGGGGTGGGAGGGGTTAATGCTGTCTGTCTGGTTTCCTGGGGTGGGAGGGGTTAATGCTGTCTGACTGGTTTCCTCGGGTGGAAGGGGTTAATGCTGTCTGTCTGGTTTCCTGGGGTGGGAAGGGGTTAATGCTGTCTGTATTAGTTTCCTGGGGTGGGGGAGGGTTATGCTGTCTGACTGTTTCCTGGGGTGGAAGGGGTTAATGCTGTCGGCTGGTTTCCTGGGGTGGAAGGGTTAATGCTGTCTGACTGGTTCCTGGGTGGGAGGGGTTAATGCTGTCTGACTGGTTTCCTGGGGTGAGAGGGGTTAATGCTGTCTGACTGGTTTCCTGGGGTGGAAGGGGTTAATGCTGTCTGACTGGTTTCCTGGGGTTTTGAGGGGTTAATGCTATCTGACTGGTTTCCTGGGGTGGAAGGGGTTAATGCTGTCTGACTGGTTTCCTGGGGTGGAAGGGGTTAATGTTGCCTGACTGGTTTCCTGGGGTGGAAGGGGTTAATGCTGTCTGTATTAGTTTTCTGGGGTGGGAGGGATTAATGCTGTCTGACTGGTTTCCTGGGGTGGAAGGGGTTAATGCTGTCTGACTGGTTTCCTGGGGTGGGAGGGGTTAATGCTGTCTGACTGGTTTCCTGGGGTGGGAGGGGTTAATGCTGTCTGACTGGTTTCCTGGGGTGAGAGGGGTTAATGCTGTCTGACTGGTTTCCTGGGGTGGAAGGGGTTAATGCTGTCTGACTGGTTTCCTGGGGTTTTGAGGGGTTAATGCTATTGTTGCAGTGTAAGCATGCAGAAGCCAAACATGCTGTATGTCTGGTTTCCTCTTCAGGGAGGGGTTAATGCTGTTCACTTACCGATGGGGTGGACAGAGGGTTAATGCTGTCTGTCTGGTCTCCTGGAGGTGGAAGGGGTTAATGCTGTCTTTCTCTTTATAGTAGGGGTTAATGCTACCTGACTTACCTGGGGTGGAAGGGGTTAATGCTGTCTGACTGGTTTCCTGGGGCGGAAGGGGTTAATGCTGCCTGACTGGTTTCCTGGGGCGGAAGGGGTTAATGCTGTCTGACTGGTTTCCTGGGGTGGGAGGGGTTAATGCTGTCTGACTGGTTTCCTGGGGTGGGAGGGGTTGATGCTGTCTGACTGGTTTCCTGGGGTGAAAGGGGTTAATGCTATCTGACTGGTTTCCTGGGGTGGGAGGGGTTAATGCTGTCTGACTGGTTTCCTGGGGTGGAAGGGGTTAATGCTGTCTGACTGGTTTCCTGGGGTGGAAGGGGTTAATGCTGTCTGTCTGGTTTCCTGGGGTGGGAGGGGTTAATGCTGCCTGACGCTGGTTTCCTGGGGTGGAAGGGGTTAATGCTGTCTGACTGGTTTCCTGGGGTGGGAGGGTTAATGCTGCCTGACTGGTTTCCTGGGGCGGAAGGGTTAATGCTGTCTGACTGGTTCCTGGGGTGGGAGGGTTATGCTGTCTGATTCTAGTTTCCCTGGGGTGGGAGGGTTAATGCTGTCTGACTGGTTTCCTGGGGTGAGAGGGGTTAATGCTGTCTGACTGGTTTCCTGGGGTGGAAGGGGTTAATGCTGTCTGACTGGTTTCCTGGGGTTTTGAGGGGTTAATGCTAGTTGATGGCTGCCTGCCCTTCAGGGTTAATGCTGTCAACAGGGGACTGGGGTCTCTCAGTTATCTGCCTGACTGGTTTCCTTGGTGGAAGGGGTTATGCTGTCTAGTATATTTCCTGGGGTGGGAGGGATTTTGCTTGTCTGACTATTTCCTGGGTGGAAGTCTTATGCTTAATCTATTTCCGGGGTAGAGGGGTTAAGCTTCTGATGGTTTCCGGGGTTCTACTTTTAATGCTGTAGACTGTTTCCTGGGTGAGCATTTTAATGCTAATATATGTTTCCTGGGGTCATTATCTTTAAGCTGTCTGATTCAAGGATGGGGTGGGAGGGTTAATGAACATCGTCATCTCCTGGGGTGGGGGGGCTATGCTGTCTTCTCTTTCAAGGGTGCGGAAGGGGCATGCTAATGTCTGGCCCCGGGGTGGGAGTTAAACTGTCTGTCTGTGGTTTCCTGGGGTGGAAGGGTTAATGCTGTCTGTCTGGTTTCCTGGGTGGGAGGGGTTAATGCTGCCTGACTGGTTCCTGGGGTGGGAGGGGTTAATGCTACTGTCTGACTGGTTTCCTGGGGTGGGAGGGGTTAATGCTGCCTGACTGGTTTTCCTGGGGGTGGAAGGGGTTATGCTGCCTGACTGGTTTCCTGGGGTGGAAGGGTTAATGCTGCCTGACTGGTTTCCTGGGGTGGAAGGGGTTAATGCTGTCTGTATTAGTTTTCTGGGGTGGGAGGGATTAATGCTGTCTGACTGGTTTCCTGGGGTGGAAGGGGTTAATGCTGTCTGACTGGTTTCCTGGGGTGGGAGGGGTTAATGCTGTCTGACTGGTTTCCTGGGGTGGGAGGGGTTAATGCTGTCTGACTGGTTTCCTGGGGTGGGAGGGGTTAATGCTGTCTGACTGGTTTCCTGGGGTGGAAGGGGTTAATGCTGTCTGACTGGTTTCCTGGGGTTTTGAGGGGTTAATGCTATCTGACTGGTTTCCTGGGGTGGGAGGGGTTAATGCTGTCTGTCTGGTTTCCTGGGGTGGGAGGGGTTAATGCTGTCTGTCTGGTTTCCTGGGGTGGAAGGGGTTAATGCTGTCTGTCTGGTTTCCTGGGGTGGAAGGGGTTAATGCTGTCTGTCTGGTTTCCTGGGGTGGGAGGGGTTAATGCTGCCTGACTGGTTTCCTGGGGTGGAAGGGGTTAATGCTGTCTGACTGGTTTCCTGGGGCGGGAGGGGTTAATGCTGCCTGACTGGTTTCCTGGGGCGGAAGGGGTTAATGCTGTCTGACTGGTTTCCTGGGGTGGAAGGGGTTAATGCTGTCTGACTGGTTTCCTGGGGCGGGAGGGGTTGATGCTGTCTGTCTGGTTTCCTGGGGCGGAAGGGGTTAATGCTGTCTGTCTGGTTTCCTGGGGTGGAAGGGGTTAATGCTGTCTGACTGGTTTCCTGGGGTGGGAGGGGTTGATGCTGTCTGTCTGGTTTCCTGGGGTGGAAGGGGTTAATGCTGTCTGTCTGGTTTCCTGGGGTGGGAGGGGTTAATGCTGCCTGACTGGTTTCCTGGGGTGGAAGGGGTTAATGCTGTCTGACTGGTTTCCTGGGGTGGGAGGGGTTAATGCTGCCTGACTGGTTTCCTGGGGTGGGAGGGGTTAATGCTGCCTGACTGGTTTCCTGGGGCGGAAGGGGTTAATGCTGCCTGACTGGTTTCCTGGGGTGGGAGGGGGTTAATGCTGTCTGACTGGTTTCCTGGGGTGGAAGGGGTTAATGCTGTCTGTATTAGTTTCCTGGGGTGGAAGGGGTTAATGCTGCCTGACTGGTTTCCTGGGGTGGAAGGGGTTAATGCTGTCTGTATTAGTTTCCTGGGGTGGGAGGGGTTAATGCTGTCTGACTGGTTTCCTGGGGTGGGAGGGGTTAATGCTGTCTGACTGGTTTCCTGGGGTGGGAGGGGTTAATGCTGTCTGACTGGTTTCCTGGGGTGAGAGGTGTTAATGCTGTCTGACTGGTTTCCTGGGGTGGAAGGGGTTAATGCTGTCTGACTGGTTTCCTGAGGTGGGAGTTAATGCTTCTGACTGGTTTCCTGGAGTGGGAGGGGTTATGCTGTCTGACTGGGCACCTGGGGTGAGAGGGGTTAATGCTGTCTGTTGGTTTCCTGGGTGGAAGGGGTTAATGCTGTCTGACTGGTTTCCTGGGGTTTTGAGGGGTTAATGCTATCCTGACTGGTTTCCTGGGGTGGGAGGGTTAATGCTGTCTGTCTGGTTTCCTGGGGTGGGAGGGGTTAATGCTGTCTGACTGGTTTCCTGGGGTGGGAGGGGTTAATGCTGTCTGACTGGTTTCCTGGGGTTTTGAGGGGTTAATGCTATCTGACTGGTTTCCTGGGGTGGGAGGGGTTAATGCTGTCTGTCTGGTTTCCTGTGGTGGAAGGGGTTAATGCTGTCTGTCTGGTTTCCTGGGGTGGGAGGGGTTAATGCTGTCTGTCTGGTTTCCTGGGGTGGGAGGGGTTAATGCTGTCTGTCTGGTTTCCTGGGGTGGAAGGGGTTAATGCTGTCTGTCTGGTTTCCTGGGGTGGGAGGGGTTAATGCTGTCTGTCTGGTTTCCTGGGGTGGGAGGGGTTAATGCTGTCTGTCTGGTTTCCTGGGGTGGGAGGGGTTAATGCTGTCTGTCTGGTTTCCTGGGGTGGGAGGGGTTAATGCTGTCTGTCTGGTTTCCTGGGGTGGAAGGGGTTAATGCTGTCTGACTGGTTTCCTGGGGTGGGAGGGGTTGATGCTGTCTGTCTGGTTTCCTGGGGTGGAAGGGGTTAATGCTGTGTGTCTGGTTTCCTGGGGTGGGAGGGGGTTAATGCTGTCTGCATTAGTTTCCTGGGGTGGGAGAGGGATTAATGCTGTCTGACTGGTTTCACACCAGATTGGAAGGGGTTATGCTGTCTGACTGGTTTCTGGGGTGGGAGGGTTAATGCTGTCTGACTGGTTTCCTGGGGTGGGAGGGGTTAATGCTGTCTGACTGGTTTCCTGGGGTGGGAGGGGTTAATGCTGTCTGTCTGGTTTCCTGGGGTGGGAGGGGTTGATGCTGTCTGTCTGGTTTCCTGGGGTGGGAGGGGTTAATGCTGTCTGACTGGTTTCCTGGGGTGGGAGGGGTTAATGCTGTCTGACTGGTTTCCTGGGGTGGGAGGGGTTAATGCTGTCTGACTGGTTTCCTGGGGTGGGAGGGGTTAATGCTGTCTGACTGGTTTCCTGGGGTTTTGAGGGGTTAATGCTATCTGACTGGTTTCCTGGGGTGGGAGGGGTTAATGCTGTCTGTCTGGTTTCCTGTGGTGGAAGGGGTTAATGCTGTCTGTCTGGTTTCCTGGGGTGGGAGGGGTTAATGCTGTCTGTCTGGTTTCCTGGAGTTGGAAGGGGTTATGCTGTCTGTCTGGACACTGGGGTGGGAGGGGTTAATGCTGCCTGACTGGTTTCCTGGGGTGGGAGGGGTTAATGCTGTCTGACTGGTTTCCTGGGGTGGGAGGGGTTAATGCTGTCTGTCTGGTTTCCTGGGGTGGAAGGGGTTAATGCTGTCTGACTGGTTTCCTGGGGTGGGAGGGGTTGATGCTGTCTGTCTGGTTTCCTGGGGTGGAAGGGGTTAATGCTGTGTGTCTGGTTTCCTGGGGTGGGAGGGGTTAATGCTGCCTGACTGGTTTCCTGGGGTGGAAGGGGTTAATGCTGTCTGACTGGTTTCCTGGGGCGGAAGGGGTTAATGCTGCCTGACTGGTTTCCTGGGGCGGAAGGGGTTAATGCTGTCTGACTGGTTTCCTGGGGTGGGAGGGGTTAATGCTGTCTGACTGGTTTCCTGGGGTGGGAGGGGTTAATGCTGTCTGACTGGTTTCCTGGGGTGAGAGGGGTTAATGCTGTCTGACTGGTTTCCTGGGGTGGAAGGGGTTAATGCTGTCTGACTGGTTTCCTGGGGTGGAAGGGGTTAATGCTGCCTGACTGGTTTCCTGGGGTGGAAGGGGTTAATGCTGCCTGACTGGTTTCCTGGGGTGGAAGGGGTTAATGCTGTCTGTATTAGTTTCCTGGGGTGGGAGGGGTTAATGCTGTCTGACTGGTTTCCTGGGGTGGGAGGGGTTAATGCTGTCTGACTGGTTTCCTGGGGTGGGAGGGGTTAATGCTGTCTGACTGGTTTCCTGGGGTGGGAGGGGTTAATGCTGTCTGACTGGTTTCCTGGGGTGGGAGGGGTTAATGCTGTCTGACTGGTTTCCTGGGGTGAGAGGGGTTAATGCTGTCTGACTGGTTTCCTGGGGTGGAAGGGGTTAATGCTGTCTGACTGGTTTCCTGGGGTTTTGAGGGGTTAATGCTATCTGACTGGTTTCCTGGGGTGGAAGGGGTTAATGCTGTCTGACTGGTTTCCTGGGGTGGAAGGGGTTAATAAGTTCTTTTAAAGTAAACCATTCTCCGATTGAATGTAAAGTTTGTTACTACAAGGTGGAATTTTAGTCAAAATTATAATTATGTAAACAAAAACAAATCTATGATAGAAAGATTTCTGGGTGGAGAATTTCTAGGACAATAAGTATTGTCAACACCATGAACATTATTTGAAGAATTATTATAGAACTTCATGGTTGATAACACATCCTTTGAATGAGACTTACAAGTAGTGTTGATATATTTCAGGTAGTGAGAGCCTACTGAATATACAAATTAAATACTATGATTGTAAAGTACTGATACAATCATCACTAGGTGGTATTAATGGTATAGGAATGTAATTCATGAATACAAATGACCTAAAGAGTTTAAGGTTGCTAGAAACCATATGATTCATGGAAATATAATTGGACAGGATATTATAGTAATACATGTATTAGTACTTAAGTAATATCAGGTATTGAGAATGAAAATACTTTGTTATATGTATCTGTAGGAATATGATAGTGATACACAGTTATTATTTAGAAAGTTACGATCTTGATTTTGTTGACTACAAAGACATGGCTGTAGCTGAGCAGGTAGATATTTTTGATTGCTTTATTGTTTATTGGATAAACATTTGTAAATACTTTATTTTATTCATTTATTATTGTTATATATATGTATATATTATGTTCAAGTAGTTATGATGTAACATGGATATGGATATCAAAACATAGCTGAAACAGAGGGAGTTTTGAAGTAAAGTAAGCAGTATGAGGGATAGAAACTCGACCTTCTAAGAACTCTCATATAATAGAAAGTTGTGACTACATCTTGTTCTATGCTCAATGAATGTGATACAAGTGATGTATGAATGGACAGGTTAGTGACATTGTGTTATGGTTTTAAAACAAACCATAAACAGAGGGAATGTAGAATATTGCATATTCTATGTTTCTATTGATTATATATATATGGATGTGTGGATTGACATAAGTAACAGATGGTATCAATAAGTCACAAGGCTTTCTTTGTCCGAGAGCTCTGGAATGTGGATTCGGGGGTTTTGTCCTTATATGGCTAGAGTTATATGCTGACGTTACTATTAGCACTTCTATATAGTAACAGAGGGACACGAGGTCTCTCAGTCTAGTCTTGGTTGGAGTCTTGGCTTGGCTCTGTACAACGATGTAACTCTCCCATCAGAAGTCCAGCAATTACCATCTGCTGTTGAATGTCTATAATCCTGTAACATCATTTATTATGCTTTATTATGTATCCGTAACAAAGAATAAACCGGAAGAAACCGTAAGTCAGATTGCGTATTACTACTTTTCAATAATATAGACATATATTATTGTGGCGAGCATTTGGCCCAAGATTATATATACAAAAGACGTATATATATCAATCAACTGAAGATAAGAAGAAATTAAGAATCATCAACATTGAACATCCATTCATCTACATTTTTTACAGCTTATCACAGTCCTATTTAGTAATGTCCCCTGGGAGTTACTATTCCGAATTACCAACCAAATTGTACGGGGTTGGAATTGGGGATCAAAACATTTAGACTCTCCTGATATTGGCTTGCACACACTATAATCAATATCCAAATATCTACATTTAGATACAGATCCCTTACATTCATACTGTGAGTGCCAGATGAGAGTTTGGGATATTTGGTTACCTGTTTTAGTAGTCTTAATGCAACTATCGCAATTCGGTATGTCTGTACTCCTACCTTCCTGAAAAATCATAAAAATACTAAGACACATAATAAAACACATTATTCCTGAAATCCTAATTTTTCTTCAACCGTGCGATGGCCTCTCAGCTTCCCGATTGTGAGGGCTGCAAGGATGTTGTTCTTCTGATCCTCACTTTCCTTCACAGAGATCCCTTCAAGATACTCTGGCTATAACACGTAGGCAGGTGGTCAGGCTTTATTATGGCCGTCAAAACACCTACTTGATGATCTTTGTAAACTTAACTAGAATGTCTCGATATCCCCTCGTCACTCCGACTGAGTTGCACGCTTCAACCGGGTCCTGCAAGGATTCTCAGGATCTGGAGTAGCTTGCCAAGAGTCTGCCGCTGATTTAACCTTAGAATGATGAATCCAAGGAGTCACTTCCGCCACCTTTACAGCTGTTGGGGTAGATAAAAGAACAACATACAAAGGCTAACAGAATACACCCCGAGCTTTAACTCAATATGTATTGGTGGGATATTACGAGCAAGTCCTGGAGGATTATTTTCTTCCCATACTCCTGGAATGTCAAGTAAGGATTCATCACTCTTAGGGTTAACACTTGTCACTATGGAATAGAAGCGTCATTCTTCTTCCCTTGGCACCGATATCGCCATTATGCCTGGTAATCCCTTAAACTTCAGAGATGTTAATCCATTAGGTAAAAGGTTATCTGAGCTTAAAGCTTCGATAATAGATCTCGTCCTAAAAGTTGAATCGGACACTCTGGCATATATAGGAACTAATGCTTCACCACATGGCCTCCCAGAATACAAGTGCGACTCTTAAGAACCGGTCTAGCTGCACTTCTCCCAGTAGCTTCTATCACAGTTATAGTCTTCCCCGAAAGCGGAGCCACCATCTTAGTCACCACAGAATGTTCAGCACCTGTGTCGATCATGAAAGAACTTCTCTTTCCCCCTATTGCTACATCGACCATAGGCTCCGCTTGACCAAGTGGGATGGAGCCCGGTCGGTATCAATAGTCTTCCATGATAGTGTCAGCCAGACCCGCAAAATCTCTATCCTCTCTTTCTCTAGGTCTCTGTGTGGGTAGATAGTATCTGTCTCCTGGAACACTTCCTCTACTATTCCCACCATTCCCTCTAAAACTTCCTCTTCCTCTATAACTACCACTATAACCTCCTCATACCCTTCTCTCTCCTTGTCTATCACCTTCATACTGCTCTCTCTGTGGACACTCACTCTTCCAATGTCCCTCCTTTCTACAATACGCACATTGATTCCTACTTAAAGTCCCTTGCTCAGCCTATTCTCGTCTCCTCTATTCACTTCCCTGTCTTTCTACACTTATGCTAGCGGTAGCTATCTTATCTGCCTTTTTCCTCATTTTATGTTCCTGCTCCCACTTTACCTCTGTCTCCCTATTCATATATACTGTATTTGCAATCTCCATTAGCTGTAATATGGACATCCCTACAAATCCCTCTAATTTTTGTAATTTCCTTTTAATATCACCTTGGGCCTGGCTGACAAATGCTGAATTAATCATCCTAGAATTCTCAGGAGCCTCTGGATTAAAGGGAGTATACAACCTATTTGACCCAAGCAGTCTCTAATATGGGACTTCGGCAAGGCTGCTCAAAAATAGGTTCCAGTCTAGGAGTAGTAAGATAGGTGTAAGGGGGTGAGCTAATTTTATTAGTCGGCATTTGGTGGATGAAAAAACGTTTTTGTTTAAAGTGTTAAACCAATAACCTACCAGTAGGTGTCACCAGAGGGTAATTGTATCAAAATAATCTTTATGGGTCTAATAAGAAAACTCAACTTTTAATATATTTATACATAAAATAAAACCTTATAGCAATAAATATATTAAAATAGGGTAAGCAATCCTACTTCTATCTGTTATAAACAATGTATTATCAATGTAACTCCCGAAGATGGCCAGTAGGTGGCTTAGAGTGCCTCCCTAAAGTCTAATGAAACAAATAGACTTTAATTAATTATGTCCCTATTTTATTATTACTTATTTTAATCACTGTCCACCCTGATATCTAGGCCTGATTAAATCTTTAGTTCTAAGGTAAATTAAACATTTCAGTTTGTAGTTTAGTAAAAGGGGACATTTTGGACAAAGCTGGGAGGGGCCCATCCAGTAACTAAAAAAAACCAATATACCATCTGATACCATTGATCATTGATTAGGGGGAGGGGTAGTACAGAAATACAAGAGTTTGAAACACAGGAACAGATAGGTATGTGGGTAGGCGGGGACAGTAGAGCAGGGGGAGTGCAAATACTGACTATATACCAGTTCTTAGCTTGGGAAGAAGAATAGGGGCGTGGCTAATCTGGCTCTGGAGGATGTTTGGGGGGTTGGTAATCAGATGCCAGGGGGGAGGGGATGTCCAAAGCAGTTGTAATTAAGGCCTTAGTTCTGACCACCATATGGCTACATTGTTTCTCATATGACACAGTTTAACTCACCAAGGCAGTTTTTCAACAATCCGTTTCCAACAGTCAATATATAGAAACTGATCATAGAATTCCAGCCTACTAGTTACAGCCACATGTACACCCTGCACTAAATTTAAGTGAAGACTGCTACATGGAGGCCATGCGGCCACCAGGACAGGCTACTCCCTACTTTTTTTTTTTTTTTTTGAAGACATACAAGACAAAAGACTAACAGCCTAGTGAATCAGAAGATTATTTCAACAGAACGTCTGATTCAAAAAGCTGTACAAATATACACACAGTTACAACAGTCACACCAATCTCCTTATCACCAGCAACACATTGCGCAGTCACTAGGCCCAAACACACACACAGGATCCTCACATGCTCAACAATATCACGACGTCGCACACACAAAATTAAATCAAAAACCCACCAAAGACTATACACTTATTAATGTAACTATTATTCAAACCATACAACTATCCACGCTATTAATCCATATAAACTAACCGATCACATAACATTTCAACAAATTCATCTCTACAATTATCCGTACTATAAATCAACTTTTGACTAACCAACTATATCACATTCTAGTAACCTCATCTTTACAGTCAGTGGTTATAGTACAGTTAGTAAGTGGTTATAATACAGTTTTAAAGTCACAGATCAGTTAGTAACAGTTATGGTATTATACATATAACATAAAACAGCAATTGTTAGTAATTTTTACACAATGTCAGTGGTTATGGTACATGTCAGTAGTTATGGTACCGTGCGCTATTTTACAGTTATACACACAATTTACACTCCCACTAGACAGCAGAGCTCTAACTTTCTAGTAGGACATACAAGTTAACCAATTCACCAACTACAATATATTTAACAACATTTACAATAATCCCAACTATTCTAACTGGCCAGCACCTCGAGAGCTTTCGATCTATTTATACACCAGAGATTCGATAAGTTCTTCGCTGCCCAGACACCACGTATAGCGAACTAGAGGGCAGAATTTACACAGTACCCAGCTAGTCTATTAAACTATCAATAAGCTAGTGGCTGGATTTACAACAGAGCACACTTAGTTAAGATAGGGTGAAATCTAGCAAACTATAATATACAACAGAGTATGCTAGTCTCCCGGTCCCCCCGACCTAGCGAACAAAATTTACACCCTAGATACGCTAGTCAAGACAGGACACCGGTGTCCGACATGAGCTATTTACACCAGAACTCAGTCTGACCCAAACCACCTATATTAGACGGGCTGACTACAGAGCGTCTAATTTCCAGATAAGTGTTGCGCTTTTCACTTCTTCCATCCATAAGGACAGGGCAGATTCCAATAACCGGTTCCAAATATAAAACCCCTTGTGGGTCTACCGCTCTAACGGTATCAATCTTACCTGTTAATTCCTGGACCTGGGTTCACTCATAGACGGAACAATCCGGGACTCACTGCGCAGAAGCCGATGATCTCCTGGACAAAAGGCCAGTGGCACCGAGACGAAAGGAGGTCCACGCAGTAGAAGTCCAGGATTGTAGCATAGAAGGTTTGGTAAAAGTTTACCGTCTCAAATCTCTGCGCCAGCTTCCATGCAAATGAGGTTCCCGGGCCAATTGCACCAGAAATGTTGCAGTGTAAGCATGCAGAAGCCAAACACAGAAATATTGGACACAGGTCTTCAGGAAGTAACAGGCCTTTATTCACATTACCGATCGGGTCTCAGATGAACTCCTGTTCCAACATTCTGAGAGCCCAACACATAGTGTACATTCCTTATATAGCACTATAACTCCTCCCATTAATAGCTACACCCACATATACCTTTAACCAATCAATGAGCAGACTATAGACTTGTACATCTAGTCAAACCACATGGCTCATCCAAGACAAAGGAAATAAGTGCAATTTCAGTTCCTGCATTCCTGCACATGCTCAGTACACTGATGACAGTATCCTAGCTACATGTAGCTAACTAACTGACACAACATACACATATGCCACATGGAGATTTTGGCCTACTAAATTTTGACCATGCTGGAAACCCATCACACTATCTGACTGGTTTCCTGGGGTGGAAAGGGTTAATGCTGTCTGACTGGTTTCCTGGGGTGGAAGGGGTTAATGCGGTCTGTATTAGTTTCCTGGGGTGGGAGGGATTAATGCTGTCTGACTGGTTTCCTGGGGTGGAAAGGGTTAATGCTGTCTGACTGGTTTCCTGGGGTGGAAGGGGTTAATGCTGTCTGTATTAGTTTCCTGGGGTGGGAGGGATTAATGCTGTCTGTCTGGTTTCCTGGGGTGGAAGGGGTTAATGCTGTCTGACTGGTTTCCTGGGGTGGGAGGGGTTAATGCTGTCTGTATTAGTTTCCTGGGGTGGAAGGGATTAATGCTGTCTGTATTAGTCTGTATTAGTTTCCTGGGGTGGAAGGGGTTAATGCTGTCTGTCTGGTTTCCTGGGGTGGAAGGGGTTAATGCTGTCTGTCTGGTTTCCTGGGGTGGAAGGGGTTAATGCTGCCTGACTGGTTTCCTGGGGTGGAAGGGGTTAATGCTGTCTGTATTAGTTTCCTGGGGTGGGAGGGGTTAATGCTGTCTGACTTGTTTCCTGGGGTGGGAGGGGTTAATGCTGTCTGTCTGGTTTCCTGGGGTGGAAGGGGTTAATGCCGTCTGACTGGTTTACTGGGGTGGGAGGGGTTAATGCTGTCTGACTGGTTTCCTGGGGTGGGAGGGGTTAATGCTGTCTGTCTGGTTTCCTGGGGTGGGAGGGGTTAATGCTGTCTGTCTGGTTTCCTGGGGTGGAAGGGGTTAATGCTGTCTGTCTGGTTTCCTGGGGTGGGAGGGGTTAATGCTGCCTGACTGGTTTCCTGGGGTGGAAGGGGTTAATGCTGTCTGACTGGTTTCCTGGGGTGGGAGGGGTTAATGCTGCCTGACTGGTTTCCTGGGGTGGAAGGGGTTAATGCTGCCTGACTGGTTTCCTGGGGTGGAAGGGGTTAATGCTGCCTGACTGGTTTCCTGGGGTGGAAGGGGTTAATGCTGTCTGACTGGTTTCCTGGGGTGGAAGGGGTTAATGCTGTCTGACTGGTTTCCTGGGGTGGGAGGGGTTAATGCTGTCTGACTGGTTTCCTGGGGTGGGAGGGGTTAATGCTGTCTGACTGGTTTCCTGGGGTGGGAGGGGTTAATGCTGTCTGACTGGTTTCCTGG